TTGGCTACCAGCGGGTATCAGCCGCATCTAACGCATTTTCTTAACGCTTTAAATATAAATGATATGTACGACTTAACGACAAAGCAACAATAGTACTGTGATTAAATTCCGTCTTTTACGATCGATGTATTGAATGTAAAAGAACGTGAGTAATTTCTCCTGTAGGGATTCATTAAAAGGAATTTAATTTTCAAAAAAAAAAAAGAAATGTCTCTTATATTTATTTAGCAAAATAAGCGATAGTTGAGAAACAGTCACTACCGCTTACACGGATATTGATGATACATTCGTCACATCGAGTACTTTAATGCAACGACCGCAAAGACCGTTTTTATCTACTTCAGGATATCGCCTGCACCTTTGACAGAGTATTTTTTCAGTATTATGTAACTCAATTTGTGTCTCTGTATCTACCGTGGGTGATTCTACCAATATAACTGAAGAAAGTTGTAAAATGTCACATAATTCTGATGTAGAGGATTTCTGATCTTTTTGAAGCATCTGCGAAAAGAAGTAGGTACAATTTATAATAATCACATTTGATCATTATTATTGCGAGTTAGAGACTGATATAATTTACGATTTATAGAAAGTGCCTCACCGAAAGTGATTTATAGTCATCTTTCGAAGCTTTTAAGATGCCCGACAATTCCCATGTGTTACGATCAGCCGATATATTCACCTTACTTCTCAAGCTTAGAGCTATTTCTACATGCCTAGCAATTTCTGGTTGATGCCAAGTTTCCGGTACTTTATATTCAGTATGATACAGTGGCACTGACGCTGTAAATAATACGCGAACAATAATATAATGTGCGGGAAACGCTTTCTTATTAAATCACTTACCCAAATTTTCAGGGTGATACAACCATACTTCTTCTGCTAAATGCGGAACGATCGGTGCGATAGATCTTGCAAGTACGGTCAGAGTTTCACGCGTTACTTCTACCGCAGCCAGACGCGTTGGGGACGCTGCTTCATCGCAGTAAAGTCTATCTTTAATCAAATGGCAATACACCGGCGACACAGTGTTTGTCAGGAAATATGTTACCAATTTACTCACGTGGTGATACAAATAATTGTCGTATAAGTTTTGAATCTGTAAGATAGAGAATCAATGTCATAAATGACATAAATAATGTAGATATTTTTTAGATATCCTTACGCTTTACCTTTTTGTTATATTGATGCAGACAATGTAACATATATTTGTCAAGATAGAGATATTCCGGTTCGACTGTGATTCCCTCGCTACATGAGTGTAAAACACCTAAAAGGAATCGTAAGACTAAGCGCATTTTTTGTATAGATTCGTGACTTTGACGCAATAACGCGGTTGTGACTGGAACCTGGCTGTGTTGACATCCATGACTAGCTATCCACCATCTATCAATTTCCTTTTGTTAACTATTTTAACTATTTTATTTCCAAAAATAACGATTACATTAGAGAATATTTTTAACTGACCTTAGAGTATCGACACCATATGCCGGATCTTTACTCAAGTTTTTTCCTCCTTTGATAATTGTCTCGGGATTTATAACGTTTCCAACTGATTTCGACATTTTCGAGGCTTTATCATCTACAGCAAATCCATGCACGAATAACGCACTTTGGAAAAAGCAACATAAATATATAAATATGTATGAGAGCTGGTATTTAATTTCATGTTGGTGAGCTACCTGTAAGGAGAACGTTCTTGAAGAGCAATGGATGTTAATAATGATGATTGAAACCAACCGCGAAACTGATCCATTCCCTCTAAATATAAATCTGCTTTATGTTCTGGTAAAATCGACCACGAGAGACCGCTATCCAACCAGATATCCATGATATCCTTTAAGAAATATAGTGAATTTTGCTATCATGTATTATTGATATTTGCGATTCTGTTAAAAGAGATTATTAATTTTGTACATACGCTTCCTCTTTCGAAATCATCTATATTATCGTTTAATTTCTGCCGAAGTTCATGACCAATTAATTTCTCGGTCGATAGCTCCCACCAATAGTTTGTTCCATGTCGTTCCATCAGTCTGCACAATCTCTCAACCCATTTTCTACAATACGAAAGTAATCCTATTCGAAACTTGTTAATTGTATTGTTAATTAGCAAAATCACCTGCTCGTATACGTATCACCAGTTCGTTTATTGTGCAACACTGGTATCGGCGTTCCCCACGATCGTTGTCGAGAAATACACCAATACGGTCGTTGCTTAACTTGTGCGACCAATGCGTTCAAATACGACGTCTGATTTTGTTCCGGGTATATCCTTATATTCGCGATGCTGTCCTTGCGTAAAAAAGAAATAAGCATACGAGTGATGAATGCGTAATAACATGCCTGTTTTAGAAGGACCCAGCTGACTTACAATTGCCTTCTCTTTAATAGACATTATGTCTATGAACCATTGGTGACTTGCGCGAATGATTACAGGCTTCTTGGTTCGCCAATCGTATGGGTAGCTATGCGTAATTGTGTCAGTATGCAACACGTCTTCACCGATATGTTGCAAGACCTTATTAGCGCCATTGTTTAGAACATTTAAGCCGGAGAACTCGTCACCCGCTTCTTTAGTGAAACATCCGTCGACGTCTATCAAAGATAACTATAACAGTAATGTTGATGTTGGATGTTGACCTAATAAAATCGTGTAATGCAACTGATTAGAATATAAATTACACTGTCATCGATAAAAGATAGCTTACAACTGGTATATTATTCTCAATAGCGATGAGAAAGTCCTCGGGACCGTGCGCGGGAGCTGTGTGAACCAATCCAGTACCAACATCAGTCGTAACGTGATGTCCAGATAAGAATGGCAAACGTTGTCTGGTAATAGGATGAAGATATTTGGCTTCACCTAATTCCTGCCCTGTTAATAAATCATTTTTCATTTATCACTCAGTTGCTATATATAGGATGTCTGATAATGAGATTCCAATGTATATACCTACGAGTATAAAGTATTTAAATATAGCTGACTCTCTCTTACCCGTAACAGTTGTAATAAATTTTAATGGACCAAGCTTCTGCTCAATATTAGCTAAACACTCTTGTGCAAGAATATACAAATTTTTCGATTTGTCTTCCACGATGCAGTATACAATATTATTGGAGAAAGCTATAGCTTGATTAGCTATCAACGACCATGGTGTAGTAGTCCAGATGAGGGCATAAAGTGGTTTATTTTCCAAATCTTTTGATTTCGAGGCTAATGCGTGCATATCAAGTCGCATGCGAATAATAACACTTTTGCTCTTATGAGATTCGTTGTATTCTAGTTCTGATTCTGCTAATGCTGTTCTATAATTATTGAAAATAGAAAAAAATCAAAGATTAAAAGAATTTTTTTTAAGATGATTTATGAATATTTCTAATTTATACTTGGAGGACGGTGACCAGTATACTGGTTTAAAAGCTCTAAACACGAGTCCTTTGTCATACAGATTTATAAATTGTTGCATCTGATTCTTCACATATGAAATATGATTCGTGAAATAACATCCTGACTCATTCCAATCAGCCATAACACCCCATGACGTAAAAGCTTGTCGCTGCTTTATGATATTGTCACTTGCATATCTTTCAGCTACAAATATGGCAAATTTTAGGAAAACATACTGTGTGTTAAGACATTTATATGTCAACATACCTTTGCGGCGAATTTCTAAAGGATTGCTATCTTTTATATCACTAAGTACTTTTTGTTCAATTGGTAAACCATGACAATCCCAACCTGGGATATAATGTACTCTTCTGCCTGACATAATTTTGCTTCTTAAAGTAATATCCTTAAGAATCTAAAAGAAAATAATTCCTAAATATCAGTGCATAACAGAAAGTGCCATAAAATTCTTTATCAATAAAAACCTTGTTAATAGCATGACCCATATGTGGTTCTCCATTTGCATATGGTGGTCCATCGTGCAAAATAAAGTCTGGTCCTTCTAGATTCTTTCTCTGCCAGTTGTATAATTCCAAGAAGCCGCATTTCTATCGCAAAAACACCGGAAAAAATCATAATATATAAATTACCATTGTTTTGTACAATTGAATCGTAACAGTCAGAATTTATGCAGCCGTGCAAATATTCAGCGATTTTATTGGAAAACAGACATTCTGATTTAGATGCTAAATAATGAAAAAAAAGTAAATAGACAAAGAGAATCCACCTCTATTAAATAACTATCCATCTCTACTCGTTTTTTGTCGCCGAGACGCGCCGGGAAATTGGTTTGCGGCAGCCGCACAGTTTTTGTATAACTTTGTTTTGCGGCGCTCTTCATGCCTCTCAGCCATATTGCGTGACAGAATTCTGCGTAAGTCCGCAAAGTAAATCCTGTTGTCTTAAATAATCGCCTCATCTTTGTGCTAAGTACGAACATCATTCAAATACAAAAAGACACTGTGTTTTAATCTTATCTCCTAACCTCAGTTCCTCCACTCGAGTCTGTTACGCCATTTTTAAATGTCACAATCTCGTCGACTTGACACACGCATGTGCTGTGCATTACGATCTATTTCCAATAAGTAAGAGGTTCCGCACAAAGGGAACAGAAAACAGAGAATAAGATTAAATAATTTCAATCTATCAGAAATCATGTATTGTGGAATACACAGTTTCTGAAGTCTTTAGGTTGAAATTCTTATTCTCTGTTCTCTGTTCCTTGTTCCTTTTTTGTGCGGAGCCCCTAAGGCTCACTATCGATATTTCTATCGATGAGCTATTGAAAATTTTTATTCCTGTATTAATTCCTTTTCGATTTACTTATCATTTTTGATATACTTTTAATTATTTATATTTTCTATATTTTCGCTATCTTTAATGGAGAAATTTTGAGAGAAATTTATTCTACAAATATAATACATCACTGTCTCTCATAAATTCAATGTTTACAATCTTGTTTATGTTCTGATTGTGTGAGTGTCATTGTCTGTTAAGTTATTATTTAAAAAAATCATTATCTTTTACATTCCTTTAACCGCGTCTTTTAGTAAAGTATCTTTAAAGAAAGTAACTACAATTTAATCGATTTAAATTTGCTGAATTTTAATTGTTGAACTACTTCAAGAAAAACTTTAATCTTACGTTTTTAGGTAATGTATATATATTATTAACAGATTATATATGTAAATATATATTTCGTCACTTTAGAACATTAACGTAAATTAATTTATAAAGCTTCAATAATTCAAAATGCATTATCTAAACTTATAAAAAAAAAAAGAAGGACAATTTTAACTGTCCTGTTAAAAATTACAAAAATAAGAAAAGCCGAGCAGGCGAGTAAAGCAATTTAAAGCTCTTATTAAATTTCGTGTAAAGTGTACACAATTCATAATGATTAGTGACAAATTATTTTTGTCAGAGTTATAAGATGTTCTATTTAACCATATAACATGAGAGTGATAAATATTATCTGTGAACAATTTTCTTTGATATTTATTTGCGAGAGTAACACACAATCTTACGAAAAATTTAATTTACATTCCATCCTTCGAAATTATAAGATACTAAAAAAACTTTTTTTTTTAAAAAGTATGTACAGATTTAACGTATCCGCACCAGGTACGGTGTTTTTATGCGGAGAACCCAAAAGACGTAACCAAACTTGTATAGCAGCCAGCTTAGACATGCGTACCACACTCACGTTCTCTTCATTTCCTTTATCAGTAGTTAAAATAGAATTTATCGGAATAGATTTTCCCAGTATCCAGTTAGACATGAGAATATCTTTACGCCAATTTTATGTACACTTCTACGGCGAAAATTACAAAAACTGGACTTCTTGTGTTATGTTGCACGAAGCAGTAAAAAATTTTATCACCACGATTATGAAGGATTATGAAGGCACATACAAATCCAACAATCAGACTCATCAATTAAGTTTACAAGCATTCTTTTTCCTTCTTATTCTTATAAGCCAGAAAGAGAATATCATCATAACATCAACTTTTATGGTGAAGCTATCAACGGAATTGCCGATCGGTGAGGGTCTGGGCAGTTCGGCATCGTTCGCGGTATGTCTCGCGGCGTGTTTTTACCGTTGGTCTCTTCTGCAGAAAGGGATCGTTGTCTACGAATTCGGCAGACAGGACCTCCTGAAGATCTCAAGTTATGCTCAGAAGTGTGAATCTACTATATACAATTCCTCGACTTGTATTGATATCACAATATCCACGTATGGCATGATAAAAATATTCGACGGAGGGATAACAAGTACGCTGAGAGCAAAGTCTTTTTCTAATATTCCATACTTAAAAATCCTGTTCTTTTCGAATGTTGATCAGAAAACGAAAAGCGAAAAGAGTATGAAAATTGCATCGGTGAAGAATTCAGATTTGTTACTCAATTCCATTTTGGAAAGTATCGAAGTAATGTCAAGTACGATTGTTTTTATGCTTGATAGTATTAACTTGAAAGTACATAATAATTTAAAAAACATTAACGGGCCATTAATTGATATAATAGAGGATTATAAAATATTAATGGTAAGTCTTATTATCTGAACTTCGGTATACTTACTTTGATATAATTTTATTACACGACGCACTTGTAACGATTGTCTCTTAGAGATTTCCGTATATCGCTATACGCTGGAAATTGTAATTATTTTTTAAATATATTTTGCAGGATATTATTCACATGAATCAAGGACTACTAAAATCATTAGGCATGTCACATCCAAATCTGGACATTATTTCCGCAATTGCTCGAAAATTTTTATTCGCGGCGAAGCTTGCAGGTAAAAGTGAAAGTAGACACGGTTTCATTTTGTTACCGAATGCCTCAGCTGAAGATATCGACAATCTTATCACGGAATTAAAATCGTATAATTTTTCTGCTAAGATAACCAGTTTGAATTGTAACGGAATAAGAGTTGAATAACGATTAAATTAACAATTTAATAGACAAATAAATACGAGCAACGTATTATTAAGATGACTTACAACAAATGTGCAGAGATTTAGACAGATGACAGAGATTACAACAGATGTACAGATATGTTATAGAATTTGATATATTGGGTCATCTAAAAAGTATCCGCGGTACTTTGTCACTAGATATATGACCATCAACACACATCTAGTGACAAAAAACCGCGGATACTTTTTAGATGACCCAATATATTCTTTGTGTTAACGGAATATTAAAAATACAAATATGTTAAGATTATATAATAAGATGATAATAAAATATTAATTTTAACTAATAATATGTGAAAATGTCAAAATGTTTGATTACAAATTATGTTTTTTAAATTATTTATTGTGTGCGACATTTATTATAAACTTTATATTATACTTATTTACATACTACATATATTTTTCTATCTTTTTATTTAGCAATTGGATATGTATGCGTATGTCCACGTATATAAATGACATTTAATTTAACCTGATTTCTTTAGTAGTTGACATTCACTTCGCTACTTGTATTCACTGTCCAGATAGATTTTATCCAAATAAATTTTTTCAATACCATGTTGCTTGTAAAGACATCTAGAAACATATCTCGTATATTTTACTGGTAAAAATTTCAAATACAAATTTACTGATTTTCAATTTTCTAAAGAAATAGAAAAATTTGTCAGCTTGTCAAAGGAATACAGCGGTACATACGAATGAAGTAATCATGCACATCAGTTAAGTTTACAAGCATTTTTTTTTCTTCTCTTTCTTCCTGATAATGAAAGAAATATTATGACATCATCTTTTATCGTGAAAATATCGACGGAATTGGCGATCGGAGAAGGTCTAGGTAGTTCCACATCGTGTGCATGTCTTGCGGTTTGATTTTATCAGTTGGTCATTTCTTCGAAAAGGGCTTGTCTTCTACGAATTTAACAGTGAACATCTTATAGATATTTTGAAATACGCTTAAAGTTATGACTCTCTGATATACAATTCTTCAATCATGACTCTGTCATATCTATGGTGTGATACACGTATTCGAGAATTAGTAATATTTACTGATGTATCGAGCATGAAGATCTGACTGATATTCTCGAATGTTAGCCAGAAAACTATAGCCGAGCAAAGCGAGCAAATGAAGATATGAAATAATATCTGACTAATTAATTCTAACTGATTAATTTTTGTAACAATAAACTCATAAGAAGGTTCCTATTCGTCACGTTAATAAATATAATTAGAAATTATACAAAAGATGACAATAATATTTACTGTAATTGCATCTTTCATAGATAGATTGAGTCACATTCATTCGTATTATATTACATTTGTGTTTATGTTCCAACTGTTTGTACGCCATTTATCGAATTAAATTATCCTCATAAAAAAGAAATCATTCTTAATCTCAATGATTCAAGCAGCTTTACAATTGTCGCAAAATTCTGGGACATGATTGATTTATATATTTAGATTTATATAGTGAAAACTATAAGAGCAAGATCAATCACATTAAAGAAACAAAACTGCTTTTTCTGCTGAATGCAGCTAATAATAAATCCAGAGTACAAAAAATGAAAGCAATTTGCGGTATATTCTGACAATATTAGTAAAAACAAGTCAAAAAGTTAGAGTAAAGAATCTTATTAGATTTCTTCCACGCATGGATTGTAACAAGTCGATAATGAATTGGAAAAATGAATTATATTTGTCGCGATCAGTATTTTTCATTAATTTACAAAAAAAATAATATAGTTAATGTGTTTCATGAATATACAACGAATATATCATATTAAATACTTGTGGATTTTCTTGTAATAAAGGGTTGTAATAAAGGGAGGTTAATCTACAGGATTCACGAATTACGTGTTAGATTTTTGTGATCTCTGTCACTTGACATTACACCTATTCCTTGGATAACAAATTTTTCGTGAAAGGCACGTAGAAGTTTAACTTGTCAGCATCGGGCACGGTCCAGTATTCAGTCACATAAAAATATATTTACGCCAATTTTTCATACACTTTTTTGGCGAAAATTACAATTACTTATTCTTTCGTTGTTATGTTGAAATAGTAAAAAATTTTATCACTTTCATGACGGATTACGATGGTATACGAATCTAGTGATCAGGCTCGTCAATTAAGTTTACATGCATTCTTTTTCTTTCGATCGTTATAAGCTTTAAGAAGATATCAACATATTATTGTCTTCTATTGTAAAATTATCGACGGAATGGCCGATCGGAATCGGTCTGAGTATTTCGGCATCGTTTTCTAATTTGCCAGGCTTGAAAATCTTGCTAATCTTCTCGAATGTTAGCCGGAAAACGAAAATCGAGTTGCTAAGCAAAAAGATTATGAATTTTGAAGCGTAGAAAAATCCATCTTTGTCGATTTTACTTTGAATAACGTCGAAGTAATCAATTAAGTTTATTCACATGTTTGATATTAACAATATTAAAACATATAATTGACATGTTTGATATTAATAATATTAAAACATATAATTGTTTTGAAAGAGAGTGTTCAAAGTTACCGCCCAAAATCTTTCCCTGCTCGAAGGGATTTGACAACAGTGGGCGGTATCTGTGCGGAACGGAAGCGGCGTTGCGAGTTGCGAGGACTTTCGTGCTTTTGTTCTGTCTGTTTGCATGTGTATATGCGTTAGTTATCCTTCGTGTTTTTTGTTGTGCTTTGTTAGATTGCTTTTACATATTGTGCTCTAGCTAATGCAAAACGCTTCAATCTGAAAGATTTTGTTTCCTTTTATGAGAGATAATACAGCATCGAATGATACAACCATTACGTGGCCACAGTAAGGTAACCTCTTGCGTATCTGAGATCCGTGCCTCACGAGCACATGTTCGACGCAAACATACTTAAGGCCTTCGTGGCACCTCGGATAGCATATAGCAATAGCAATCCTCTTTTCAAGCAAGTCATCGAGGATACTATTCACTAATTACATGCTGTATATATTAGCGTTATGATAAGGTTTTATCTCTGTTATCTTTCATTCGATAAGCCCATAAATATTGGGTCATCTAAAAAGTATCCGCGGTTTTTTGTCACTAGATGTGTTGATCATCAACACCATCTTGGAATAAATCAATAACTTATTCGTGATATCAATAGTTAAATTTAAACAATAAATAATTCATGAGAGCGCATATTGAAAAAAAATTGAATTTTATATAAGAATTCTGTACGCGCGCTTTAATGGATTAAATATGTAAGTCGTATTTACATTTGTGTATATTTTGATTGTTGTGTGATTTGAGAGATTATTAAACTAATTGTCCTTTCAGACGAGAAATCGTTTCTGGTTATAAACATTACAAACGCTCTGAAAAGACATTGCCCTTAGTTCGACATATACTAAAGATGACAACAGATCAATCTGACAATTGGAAATTCTTCAATTGCTAAATTTTAGTTATCATCTTCGATTTCATCAAGAATCAAGACAAAGCTCTCACTATTATATTAAAAGTAATATTCTCATATTATGTATATACATAATTAATATTTTCAATTTCAATAATGAAGAATATGTAATCCAGGTTTGGGATAAAAGAAGTGAAGATAAAGCGTTGTCTTGCTGATACCATCAATCAAAAGGATAAACTGATCTGATTGTGAGTTGAAACTTATTGGATTCTTTCCACGTATAAATCGTAGAGAATCGATTACAAATTGGTTGAATTACATTTGTCGCAGTTAGTATTTCATTAATTGATATACAATAAGAGTAATATGTATTAAGTTATATTAAGTGGACGATTTTCTTGCTTTGATAAATAGAATTCTTATTTACAGGATTAACGAATTTTGTATCTGACTTTTTACGATCAATCAATCGACATTACGCCTTCTTCGGATAATAAATAAATTTTTCGTCGTGAAGATCATGTATAGATTCACGGTGTCTGCACCGGGCACGGTGATTTTATGTGGAGAACGTAAACAAACATGCGTAGCAGCCAGCTTAGACATGCGTACCGTACTTAAATTCTCTTCATTTCCTACAGAAGATTTTATCAAAATAAAATTTTCCAGTATCGGATTACGCATGAAGATACCTTTACGCTTATTTTCCTTACATTTTTTTAAGATAGAGTACGATCAAATGCTTGATTGTTTTAATTTGATGCAGTCAGTGAATAGCTTTATTAGATATATGACGGGTTTTCCCGGCGATTACGAACCCAACAATCGCACACATAGATTAAGCTTACAAGCTTTTCTTTTTCTTCTCATTTTCATTAGCCGCAAAGAAGGCATCACTATAAAATCTTTCATTATGGATGTTTCATCAGAATTACCGATTAATGAGAATCTGGGCTACTCGGCATCATTTGTAGTATGTTTAGCGGCATGTTTTTGGCGTTGGTCCCGCCTGCTGAAAGGAAAGGTCCCCTGTACATTTAATTCTAAAGATATTATACATATCGCGGAATATGCTTACATATGTGAGGAGATTGTATACAGTTCCTTCAATGCAATCAACGTCACAATATCTACGGTTGGCAAGATGAGAGTATTTAAAGAGAAGGAACAGATGTCAAACATTTTTCTTAACGTGCCGAGCATGAAGATTCTGCTGGTCTTTTCGAATGCTAGCAATAAAAGCATGAGAGTAAAAATAAATGAGTATTTATCTTCTTTCGCTGATTTTACTCTATATAGTCTCGAAATTTTGTCGAATAAGTTTATTGAAACTCTTGAGAAAATTAACGAAAAAATGGTTTCCTTACAACAGCAGGAGATCGTTGAAACTAATTCAATTGATCTGGAAAACTATTATAAATATTTAATGGTAAGTCTCATTCTATGAATTTTGATATAATTTAATGCACATGTGTTTAAAACTTAATGTTTAAAACTATCTCTTAAAATCATCGTGATTATTTTTTCCGTACATAGCTATACGTTGATAACGTTAAACATCTTCTAACATACTTTACAGGATCTCATTCACATAAATCAGGGACTATTAAAAGCATTAAACACATCACATTCAAACCTAGACATTATTTGCGCAATTGCTCGGAATTTTTCACTTGGAGGAAAAATTGTCGCCAGCAGAAGTAGATACGCATTCATTTTATTGCTACCAAATACCTCAAATGAATTAATCCAACATCTGATCAAGATATTTGAGTCGCATAATTTCCCTGCGAAGATAACCAGTTTGAATTGTAGCGGAGTAAGAGTTGAATAACATATTAAAATCAGTAATTAGTATGAGTAATGTAAACAATAAATAAAAAAAGCTAAGAATTTATGATGCATGTTATGTAGAAAAGTTTTATATAATACATTTTTTACGCATTAATGGACTATGGACTACTGGAAGTATAGAAATTTGCATTTGTCGAATTGGATAAAATAACAGTATATTAACAAAATAATATAAGATATTTGATTCTAAAAATATCTAATAAAATATATATTAAATATATAGAAATATATTTTATGTATTTGTATATAATATATATAAATATATATAATATAAACATAAAAATGTACGTAATAAGTATAATACAATAAATGATTTACGCGAACAATAATGGATCTAATATTTCATACGTTATATCATACTTTATTGTAAAGAAATATTTTACATTATTTTTTGTTATTTTATCTTATCATTCCATCATCTTATCATATATTAGATGCGTAACTGATTACTTTAATAACAATAAACACTTAAGAAGTTTCCTATTCGTCAAAAAATATAAAATGAAATTATATAAAAGATGACAATGACATTTACTGTAATTGCTGTTCTTTGGATAGATTAAGTCATATTCAATCATATTTATATTTGTATTTGCGTTCCGCCTGTTTGTATGTCATTTATCGAATTAAACTATCCTTATAAAAAAGAAATTGTTCTTAATCTCAGTAGCTCCGTTTAGTAGAGAAAGCAGCTTTACAACAGTCACATAATTCTTGAACATGATTTATTTATACATTTAGATCTAGTGAGAAACTATAAGAGCAAGATCAATCATATTAAAGAATTATACAATAATTGCAAAGCTGCTTTTTCTGATGAATGCTAATAATAAATCCAGATTTGTACAGAAAATTAGTTTAATTTGCGGTATATTCTGACGATAATACCAAATACGAGTTAAAAAGCTGAGCAAAGTTGAATTTTATTAGATTTCTTTCACGCATAGATCGTAAAAAATCGATAATGAATTAGTAAAATGAAATACATTTGACGCGATCAGTATTTTTCATTAATTTACATAAAAGTAATAGTTGGTATTTCAATATAGTTAGTATGTTTCATTAATGTATAACGAATGTATTAGGTGTTGGAATTAATTCGTAGCGTTTTTTAATGAAAGAATGTTATTTATTTCACATGAGCATTAAAAAATACATTAATGAAAGTACTTCCCATCACTTGTAAAACGCTACGAATTAATTCCAACACCTAATATAATATTAAGTACTTGTAAATGATTTTCTTGCTTTAATGAACAGGATACATATCTACGGATTCACAAGTTACGTGTTAGATTTTTACGATATTTGTCACTTGACATTACACCTGTTCTTTAGATAAATTTTTCGTGAATGGCATGTACAAGTTTGATTTGTCCGCACCGGGCACGGTTCAGTATCCAGTTACACATAAAATATCTTTAATATCCAATTTTTCATTGTTCATAATCATACGTCTTTGGCGAAAATTACAATTACTTATTCTCTCGTTGTTACGTTGAATAAAATAGTAAAAAAATTTATCACTTCCATGACGGACTAAGATAGCGAACCTAACAGTCAAACTCATCAATTAAGTTTTTACATGCATTCTTTTTCCTTTGATCGTTCTAAGCTTTAAGAATATATCAATATGTTATCATCTTCTGTTGTAAAACTATCATTGCCAAGCAAAAAAAGTATGAATTTTGAAGCGTAGAAAAATCCATCTTTGTTAATCGATTTTACTTTAAATAGTAATATCGAAGTATAATATCGACTAAGTTTATGCACATGCTTGATATTAATAATATTAAAACATATAAAGAAACATATAAAGTTTGAAAGAGAGTAATATTAGTCAATCTGTTAATATAATAGATAATTGTAAAACATTGATAAGTCTTATTATTCGAACTTCGATACCTCCTTTGGTATAATTTTATTACACGACGTACTTGTGGTGATTGTCTTTTGGATATTCTTGTACGTACGCTAGAAACTTTAAATATTTTTTAATACATTTTGCAGAATATTATTCATGTCAATCAAGAACTACTAAAAGCATTAGGCATGTCGCATTCAAACTCGGACATTATTTGCGCAATGGATCCAAATTTTTTATTCGCTGAGAAGATTGCTAGTGAAGGTGATTTCATTTTGTTATCGAATAGCACAAATGGAAACATTCAAGATTACGACATTCGAGACGCAAATTACTGTGCTAAGATCGCCAGTTTTGAATTACAACAGATTGAGAATTGAATATGTTGGAATCAGTAACTGATTCGTAATATCAATAATTAAATTTAAACAATGAATAATTCATGTTAAGAACGCATGTTATGAAAAAAAAAATTGAATTTTATATAAGAATTCTGTACGCGCGCGTTAACGGAATAAATATGTCAGTTTTTATTTACATTTGTGTATATTTTGATTGTTTGTGTGATTTGATAGATTATTAAACTAAATTGTCCTTTCAGAGGAGAAATCGTTTCTGGTTATGAACATTATAAACGCTCTGAAAAGACATTGCTCTTAGTTCTAAATATACTAAAGATGACGATAGATCAATTTGACAATTGAAAATTCTTTAATTGCTAAATTTTAATTATCATCTTCGATTTCAAGAATCAAGACAAGGCTCTTACTATTACATTAAAAGTAATATTCTCATTTTATGTATATACATAACTAACGTTTTCAATTTCAATAATGAAGAATATATAATCCAGATTTGTACATAAAAGAAGTGAAGATAAAGCGTTGTCTTACCATTAATCAAAAGGATAAACCGAGAAACTGATCTGATTGTGAATTGAAACTTATTGGATTCTTTCCACGTAGAGAATTGATTACAAATTGGTAATGAATTACATTAGTCGCAGTTACCATTTCATTAATTGATGTACAATAAGAGTAATATGTATTAAGTTATATTAGTGTACGATTTTCTTGCTTTGATAAATAGAATTCTTATTTACAGGATTAAAGAATTTTGTATTTCTGATTTTTTACGATCAATCAATCGACATTACGCCTTCTTCGGATAAATAAATTTTTCGTCGTGAAGATCATGTATAGATTCACGGTGTCTGCACCGGGCACGGTGATTTTATGTGGAGAACGTAAACAAACATGCGTAGCAGCCAGCTTAGACATGCGTACCGTACTTAAATTCTCTTCATTTCCTACAAATGTAGTTCGACAAGATTTTATGGAAATAAAAATTTCCAGTATCGGATTACGCATGAAGATACCTTTACGCATATTTCTTTTACATTTTTATGGTATAAATTACTGTGAAGCACTTGATGATTTTAAGTTGTTTGAATCAGTGAAAAGTTTTACTACATTTTTGTCGGGCTTTTCCGGCAATTATGATCCCAACAATCACGCACATCGGTTAAGCGTACAAGCTTTTATTTTTCTTCTCGTTCTCATTAGCTACAAAAATGGCATTGTTATAAAATCATCTTTCGTTGTGGACGTTATATCGGAATTAGCGTTTGGTGAGGATCTAGGTTGTTCGGCCTCGTTTGTGGTATGTTTAGCGGCATGTTTTTGGCGTTGGTATCTCCTGCAGCAAGGAACGGTCCGCTACATATTTAATGCTGAAGATTTTTCATATATCATGAAATATGCTTACTCGTGTGAACAGATTGTATACAATTCCTGCAATCTAATCAACATCGCAATATCTACGGGTGGCAAGATAAGAGTATTTAAGGGGGCTTTGGAAATGGCAAACATTTTCTTTGGCGAGCGGAGCATGAAAATCCTGCTGGTCTTTTCGAATATTATCGAGACAAGCATGAAAATAAAAGAGTGTTTATCTTCTATCGCTGATTTCATTCTACATACTCTCGAAATTTTGTCGAACAAATTTATTGAAACCCTTAAGAGAATTGATGATGTTATTGACTTACAACAACGGAATGTCAATGTTGAAAGTAATTCGGATTGTCTCATAAACTATTATAATGATTTAGTGGTGAGTCTCATTTTACGAATTTCGATATAATTTAATGCATATGTTTAGAACTATCTCTTAAAGTCGTGATTATTTATCCCGTGCAGTTATACGCTGATAACTTTAAACGTCTTCTACCATTCTTTACAGAATCTCATTAACATTAATGAGGGACTACTAAGAGCATTAGGCACATCACCTTCAAGCCCAGTCCTAGACATTATTTGCGCATATGCTAAGAATTATTCACTTGGAGGAAAAATTGCCACCAGCGGAAGTAGATACGCATTCATTTTGTTGCTACCAAATACCTCAGATGAATTAATTCAACATCTGATGGGAATATTTGAGTCGCATGGTTTCCTTGCTAAGATAACCAGTTTGAATTGTAGCGGAGTAAGAATTCAATATTAAAATCAGTAATTAGTATGAGTAATGTAAGCAATGAATAAAAAAAGCTCATGCTAAGAATTTATGACGCATGTTATGTAGAAAAGTTTTATATAATACATTTTTTACGGATTAAGTATAGAATTCGTATTTGTCGAATTGATAAAATAATAGAATATTAATAATAGAATATTAATAAAACAATATAAGATATATGCTTCTAAAACTGTGTAATAAAATATATAATATATTAAATATAAAGATGTATAATATTATATATATATATATATATAATATATACAATTAAAATTAAAATTTATATTACAATATATATTTTATATATTATATAGATATAATTATATATATATATATATATATATATATATATATATATTATATATTTTATCTTATTACTATTCCATCATCTTATCATATATTAGATGTATAACTGATTATTTTTATAATAATAAATTTTTCAGAAGTTTCCTATTCAAATAGAAATATAATATGAAATTATATAATATGAAAGATGACAGTGACAATTGCTGTTCTCTGATAGATAGATTAAGTCATATTCAATCGTATTGTATTTACATTTGTGTTTACGTTCCGCCTGTTTGTATGTCATTTATCGAATTAAACTATCCCTACAATAAAGAAATTGTTCTTAATCTCATTGGCTCCATTTGGCAGAGCAAGCAGCTTTACAACTGTCTCTAAATTCTTGAACAGGATCGATTTATATATTTAAATCCAGTGAAAAACTATAAGGGCATGACAAATCATATCAAAGAATTTTACAAAGCTGTTTTTTCTGTTGAATGCAGCTAATAATAAATCCAAAGTTGTACAGAAAATTGTTTGAATTTGCAGTATATTCTGATGATATATATATCAAAAAGCTGAGCAAAATTGTATCTTATTAGATTTCTTTCACGCATGGATCGTAAAAAATCGATAATGAATTGGTAAAAAGAAATATATTTGACGCGATCAGTATTTTTCTTTAATTTACATAAAAGTAATATAGTAATATAGTTAAAGTAGTATGTTTCATTAATGTACAACGAATGTATGATATTAAGTATTTGTAAATGATTTTCTTGCTTTAATTGCTTAATGAACAAGATACATATCTATGGATTCATTATTTTTTAATACATTTTGAGAATATTATTCATGTGAATCAAGAACTGCTAAAAGCATTAGGTCGCATTCAAATTCGGACATTATTTGCGCAATTGATCAAAATTTTTTATTCGCTGGGAAGATTGCTAGTGAAGGTGATTTCATTTCGAATAGCACAAATGGAAACATTTAAGGTCGCGACATTCGAGACGCAAATTACTGTGCTAAGATCGCCAGTTTTGAATTACAACGGATTGAGAATTGAATATGTTGGAATCAGTAACTGATTCGTAATATCAATAATTAAATTTAAACAATGAATAATTCATGTTAAGAACGCATGTTATGAAAAAAAAATTGAATTTTATATAAGAATTCTGTACGCGCGCGTTAACGGATTAAATATGTCAGTTTTACATTTGTGTATATTTTGATTGTTTGTGTGATTTGAGAGATTATTAAACTAAATTGTCCTTTCAGAGGAGAAATCGTTTCTGGTCTAAACATTATAAACGCTCTGAAAAGAGATTGCCCTTAGTTCTAAATATACTAAAGATGACGACGGATCAATCTAACAATTGAAAATTCTTTAACTTCTAAATTTTAATTATCATCTTCGATTTCATCAAGAATCAAGACAAGGCTCTTACTATTACATTAAAAATAATATTATCATTTTATGTACATACATAACTAACGTTTTCAATTTCAATAGTGAAGAATATATAATGCAGATTTGTATACATAAAAGAAGATAAAGCGTTATCTTGCTGATATCATTAATCAAAAGGATAAACCGAGAAACTGATCTGATTGTGAGTTGAAACTTATTGGATTCTTTCCACGCATGAATCGTAGAGAATTGATTACAAATTAATAATGAATTACATTAGTCACAGTTACCATTTCATTAATTGATGTACAATAAGAATAATATGTATTAAGTTATATTAAGTGGACGATTTTTTTGCTTTGATAAATAGAATTCTTATTTACAGGATTAACGAATTTCGTATCTGACTTTTTACGATCAATCAATCGACATTACGCCTTCTTCGGATAATAAATAAATTTTTCGTCGTGAAGATCATGTATAGATTCACGGTGCCTGCACCGGGCACGGTGGTTTTATGTGGAGACCGTAAACAAACATGCGTAGCAGCCAGCTTAGACATGCGTACCGTACTTAAATTCTCTTCATTTCCTACAAATGTAGTTCGACAAGACTTTATGGAAATAAAAGTTTCCAGTATCGGATTACGCATGAAGATACCTTTACGCGTATTTCTTTTACATTTTTATGGTGTAAATTCCTGTGAAGCACTTGATGAATTGAAGTTGTTTGAATCAGTGAAAAATTTTACTACATTTTTGACGGGCTTTTCCGGCAATTATAATCCCAACAATCACGCACATCGGTTAAGCGTACAAGCTTTTATTTTTCTACTCGTTCTCATTAGCTACAAAAAAGGCATCGCTATAAAATCATCTTTCGTTGTAAAAGTTTTATCGGAATTACCGATTGATGAGGATCTAGGCTGTTCGTCCTCGTTTGTGGTATGTCTAGCGGCATGTTTTCGGCGTTGGTTTCTCCTGCAGCAAGGAACGGTCCGCTACATATTTAATGCTCATGATATTTCACTTATCATGAAATATGCTTTCTTGTGTGAACATGTTGTATACAAGTCCGTCAATCTAAACAACATCACAATATCTACGGGTGGCAAGATAAGAATATTTGAAAAGGAGAAAGTGATGTCAAACATTTTCTTTAAAAATGTGCCGAGCATGAAAATCCTGCTGGTCTTTTCGAATGTTAGCAAGGAAAGCATGAAAACGGTAGAGTGTTTATCTTCTACCGCTGATTTCATTCTACATACTCTCGAAATTTTGTCGAACAAATTTATTGAAACCCTTAAGAGAATTGATGATGTTATTGACTCACAACAACGGAATGTCATTGAAAGTAATTCAGATTGTCTTATGAACTATTATAAGGATTTAACGGTAAGTCTCATTTTACGAATTTCGATATAATTTAATGCATATGT